ATGGGGGCACCTGGTGGCTCAGTATGTAAAGCATCTGCCTTTGGCTCAGGTCATGATCCTGGAGTTCTGGGATCAAGTCCGGTGTCAGGCTCCCTGCTTAGTGGGGAGCCTACTTCTCCCTTTGCCCCTCAACCCACTCATGCTATCTCTCTCTCTCTCACTCCCTCTGTGTGTCATAAATAAATAAAATCTTTTTTTTTAAAGGGCAGAATAATGGCCAAGTAGAGATTTCAACAACATAGAAGAAGTAGTGATTAATTTGGAGGGGCATTAGGAAAGCTTTGCAATGGAAGAGACATTTGAGCTGGGTTTTGAAGGGTGAGTAAGAGTTCAATAGCAAGGAGAACACATTTTAGTCAGAATAAAGAGTATAGGAAAAGCAAAAGAGCTTGAACATGCATGTTCTGTGTGGTATGTAAGTTTGTGATACTGCCAGGGTGTGTCTGGGATGTACTGTCCCTAGGGCATTGGAGGAGAGGCAATAATGGAGGCAGTAACAAAAATTCAGATTTTTTTTCAAGTTTTTTAAAAAGATTTTATTTATTTATTAGAGAGAGAAAGAAGCAGGAGCATGAGCTGGGAGGGTGAGGGGCAGAGGGAGAAGCAGAATGCCTGTTGAGCAGGGAGCCGGATGCAGGGCTCCATCCCAGGACCCCTGGATCATAACCTGAGCCGAAAGCAGATGCTTAACCAACTGAGCCACCCAGGCACCCCTCAAAGAAATTTTTTTTTTTGGTCTCAAAAGTCCATGCTCTGATCCTGGTACCTCATTCTACTTCTTTATAAAATTTCAGAGTAGAGTTGGTCCTAAAGTATTTTTAGATAATCTAACCTTCTAGATTTGACATTCTGTACCAGTGTACTACAGTGTGCTTATTTTCAGGCTCCCACAACCCCCTTTTCTTTTCTGCCCCTGTGCTTTCTGCTATGTGATGTACTTTGTGAATAGAAAGGTTGATAGGGTCATGAGGTTTAGTGGCACATCATCTGGAAATTTCTGGTTGAAGTAGGGTGCTCTGCTGGTCTTGGTTGATCTCTTGGCCTTGAGGATGATCTCTAAACTGATAAGAGAATTTTGTTGTCAAAATGTACAGAAATTGGGGCACCTGGGTGGCTCAGTTGGTTAAGTGTCTGCCTTCTGCTTGGGTTGTCATGCCAGGGTCCTGGGATTGAGCTCCCAGTTGAGTTCCTTGCTCAGCTGGCAGCTTGCTTCTCCCTCTCCCTCTGCTCCTCCCCCTGCTCATGTGCTTTCTCTTTCACTCTCTCTCTCATAAATTAAAAAAAAAAAAAGCTTAAAAAATATATGTACAGAAATTGATTCTTGGTGATCTTGGCAGGAAAGGAATCCGTTGAAAGAACTTAGGGTGGCTCGTGAAAGGTCCCACAGGCGCAGAGAATTAGAATCAGAGTCAACAGAGCTGGAACAAAACCCCAAAATACACCAAAGGGGGCTGGTGCAGACACTACTGCTCCCACCAGGGGTACAGATACACAGCGTGCACCATTGCTACTGGACAGGGGGTGTGGTTGTCATCAGAACTGCTGCCAACAAAGCTTCCCCAAACTGGATGGAGCTGCCACTACCATCGTCAAGTGCTGGATTGGATCATGTGCTGTCCCTGCCGGTCTACATCGCGAGGGGCTGATTCCAAGTCTGCCGTGATCACCCTGGGCTTATGTTCTAGTACAGAGGATGCTGGGAAAATGAGTATCCTGGCTTCTGTAATGGGTGGCTGTCTTTGCCTCATGATGTGGAGGACTCCAAACATAGGACGGGGGCTCAGATGCCAAACGCATGACAAATGTCCACGACAGTCTCTAAGCTGGCCATTGCGTGCATGCCACCAACTTTCTTTAGCTGGGGATTTATGGGAAAATCAAAGTGCCTTTGCATCAGGAAAAGATTTTACCCACTCTCCGAGATAGAGGAAGGAAACTTGACTCGAGGGAAGTTAAGCAGTGGAGAGAAAACTCTCGAGTCTTAGATTACTTACTGACCTCAAAAGCAAAAGGGCTGGCTCAGCCTTCACTAGGCCTGTCAGCTAATTCTAGCTCATTTAACAAAAGCGACGTTTTCTGTGTGCATGACATTGCCCTGAGGGGTGCACAGTTTTTAGGAATCAAAGATAAAAATCATAGATGAACGTTTGTTTTATCCTTACTAAAAACTCAATGGAGTAAACCAAGTACTTTTCTCCTTTCACTGAAAGGCAAGCCCCCAAAACTACCACCTTCATTTAGACACTCAACAATCTCCTTTTTGGTAAACCCAAGGCTGGGACCTGGTCCTTCCATTCATTGCTCTTTAGGATTCTCCCCCTACCACAGGCATTTCCCTGTATGAACCCCCCTTTCTTTGGGTAACAAATGAATTGTCTGTAAATGCCTGAGCTCCCCCAAGAGTACTAAAAGAACTCTTGATTTTTATGCATAATGATTGGGTCGCTAGGACACACACAGTTGCTTTGTTTCTCAGGGTGGTGATTTGGATGAGAGACTTGTTGCATGAAAAACGTAAACCTCACAAAGGTCTCTCTTCCTTATTTTGGGGTTCTTATGCTATCAACTTCAGTTTTCAATGTATCCATCTCAGCTTTACTTCAAAGTTGTTTCAGTCCTCTGGACTCTGGGTGTCAGGCTGCAGAGGAGATCGGCTGGGTACCTTCACACCTAAGGAGTTAAGGGTTTAGAGCGAGAAAGAGACTTTGTTTATTTTTTACCCTGCAACAAAGGTATTTTGGGTATGTAGCATGTTGTCTTACCAGCTGCTGCTTCCTTTGGTGCTGGCTGTGTTGGTTGCTGTACTCTCTTCTGGTGATTAATGGAAACTGGGGTAGGGGAGGGCAGATCCATCCCTTTGTCTAAGAATATCAGGTTTACATAATCAGGCCCGTAATTGACAGTTGACTGTTGGGCAGCAAAACTCCAGGCTTCTCCTAGGGAATGAAAACAGGGTACAAGGATACAGCTTGGATTTACGTTAGTCAACAAGTTTTTGGAGTGACGCACGGGGAGGCCTAAATGATTCTAAGCACTCAGAGATTGAATTGCGGGATTTAGAATCGTGTTACGTGGGGCTAAATCAGTAGGAGCAGGACTGGCTGAGCCAAGTTACTCTCTGTACCTCAGTTTCTCCACCAGTGTTTGAAGGTCTTTACTATGTGCCAGACCTTTTGTGTCTGTTAGCTTAACACTCCTTCACTGCTAACCTTTTAGGGAGGTGTTTTCTGTCTTTTGCAGGTGAGGAAATAAAGTGCAAGGGGTTGGGGGGGGGGATGCTGAGTAATTGTCCTTGAGGGGACAGAGCTAGTGAAGAGTGGGCTGGGGATACAAACAGCCGGGGTGCTCCGGAGCCCTCAGCTTACTGGCCTTTTCTTGCCCACGACCTTTCAGGCAGCATTTCAGTACTGCCTGTAATGCCCACCTTAGGGTCTCCCAACCCTTTTACAAGGTGGCTGTGTTTGGAGCTTATTGGGGAATGGGTGTTTGAACACACAGTTGCTGGACTTCCCTGGCTCAGTCAATTCTGCTCTGGTGGTCATTGAATGTGATACCTTTAGCAGATTTGATGATGTGCATGATTTCTAGAACTTCCTGTGTTGTGTGTTTTTTTTTTTTTTTTTTTTAAGATTTTATTCACTTATTCATGAGAGATAGAGAGAGGCAGAGACATAGGCAGAGGGAGAAGCAGGCTTCCTGCGTGGAGCCCAGTGCAGGACGGGATCCCAGGACCCCGGGATCACGACCTGAGCCGAAGGCAGATGCTCAACCCTCTGAGCCACCCAGGCGCCCCTAGAACTTCATGTTTTATTGTAATCTTCCCTTCCAACCTACGAAGGAGTCCTAAGCAAAGGCAGGTTTGGGAAGTGGAATTTGAAATGAACACAGAAGGCAGTTTGGTTAACAGGTAGGGGTGAGAAGAGGGAGGATACGAAGGAAGGAAGGGTGTGAGTGGCCTTCAGAGGGGTGAGCCTTAGCAGAGGCCAGGCAGGGGTGGGGAGGGGCTCATGCAGTGGAAGGTCAGTGAATGAATGAATGAATGAATGAATGAAGAGTTAATCAGTTCATGAATCAATGAATCAGTTACTAGCAAGAGAGAGCCGGAGGCAGAGGGTCTCGTATCCCAGCACAGGCCCAGGCCAGGGAGCAGGGCAAGAGCCTGGACCGAGTCCAGGGAAGTGCAGCTCGGCCAGACTGTTGAGGTCATTTGGCACACGGGGCCCTTTTAACCTGAAATTGAGAGACTGCGTCTGGAACACAGCAGAGGGAGGACTCAGCGCAGGGATGAAGGGAGGGAACCCCGTCAGCCTGGGACCACAGCAGGGAAGCATCTTTAAGTGCCTGTTCTTTCTGTCACCCACCAGGAACTCACCCTAAATATTGTTACAGCGTACCTCTGATTTGTCTGGCTGTTTCTAATTTCTGTCTCAGGACTCCTTACCCCACTGTAAAATCAAGCAAAGGCCCAGTTATCTAGCTCGGTAGTTCTCAGAGGTTTGTTTGTTTTTTTTTTTTTTTTTTTTTTTAAACTGAAGTTGGGTCCTCTGAGCACTGAGTCCTAATAGAACCCTGTTTTCTGTTTTCCATAAGACTCTCTCCCCAAGGCACTGTCTTTTATTCTTTTCATTTAAATGGAGTCTAACTTTTTATTTTCTTAAAAAAGATTTTTTTATGTATTTATTTATGAGAGACACAGAGAGAGAGGCAGAGACTCAGGCAGAGGGAGAAGCAGGCTCTCTGCGGAAGCCGGATGCGGGATTCGATCCCAGGACCCCGGGATCACGCCCTGAGCCAAAGGCAGACGCTCAACCGCTGAGCCACCCAGGCGCCCCAGTCAGTGTTTTTATTCAGAAGCATGAGCACGTGCGTGGAAAGCCCACGAGGGGTTGCTAAGGTCTGTGTTCGCAGCCCTGGTGGGTGACTCTTGGGTCGTGTCCAACCCCACACCCCCCCTCCCCCCGCTTTGCTGGCCTGGGGCCTTGCCACAGGCAGTGTCACCATCCTGGCCCCACTCCCAGCTGCGGCCACCACTGCGGCCAAGGCTCTTTTCACTCTTTTCATTTGCCATCGTCTTTTGCTTTTGCTTTTCTCTTCAGCCACATCTTTGCTCCGGGCCCCTGTGGTTTGCTTCTTTAGCCGCCCCAGGTAACGAGAAGGCTCCTTCCTTCTGGTCAGTGGACAGACTGTTCGCGGGCCGGATGTCCTCCTGGTGGTGTGTCTCCTCTTGGCTCGCTGCAGCCTTGCTCAGAGCGTTTGTTTTCATTGCTGGCCGTGGAGGTGCTTCCTTTCCTTTTTCTTTTTTTCTTGCCTCTGGTTTCTTCTGTCATTGGGGTTTGTGGCTTTTCCACATGGGGAAGTTGCTCAAAGCAGGCGTCCCTTGATACCCGAGGTGGTAGTAGGTGCGGTAGGGCTGGCCGGGTGGCACCGTTGCAGGTGATCTGCATGCGCCCCTTGCCAAGGTCGAGGGTGGGGGCCGGCCCTCCCAGCTTACAGGCTTTGAAAGGGCCATTGCCAATCCTTTGATGACAGTGGTGAAAAATTATAAGGGAGACTGTTTTTCTCCTCCTCTTCACGTGATCAAGAACAAGGATTGTGGAGTCCGGTGACCTGAGTTCAAATCCTGGCTCTTCCCCTTATTAGCTGCGTAGCCTTAGGCAAATTACTTAACCTCCTTGTTTCTTACTCTGTAAAATGGGGGCAATACTTGTTGTATTATAACACAATATTATATATCACAATATATATTGTATGTGTTATGATATATAACATACAACATTAAATATATCATTGTATTATGTGCACACCCCAGAGTTATATTTGTAGATACCATATTATTACCTTTATTGTGTTATTATATATTATTGTAATGTATAGCATACCCACTTGTATTTGTTTTATTTTTTTATATTTGTTTTATGTAACAAGCTACTATAACATAATAACATATGCCATAACACTATATATAAAATTATATATACATAATATACTTTATATATACGTAATATACATAACTTTACATATGTGCATACATAACTTTATAGATGTATGACATATAGTATGCATAACTTTATATACATAAGCTTATATATGTATAATATATAGTATGTATAACTATATACCTAACTTTATATATGTATAATATGTGGCGCGCATAATTTTATGTATATACCTAACTTTATATATGTATAATATAGTATATAAACCACACATATATAGTGAATATATACAAAGCCTTGAGAACAGACTGATACATAGCAAGCAGGTGCTGAATGACTTTGCATTATTCTTCTTTGTTTTTATGTTTCTGTTTTTTTTTTTTTTGAGGGGGGAGTACACTTTTGTTTTTGACCTAAAAGCAAAACTGAGTTATTCCTCAAACTCCTCTGAGTGGCTAATTATCATTTCTGTCCTTTTTTATTTTTATTTTTTTTACAGATTTTATTTATTTATTAATGAGAGATACAGAGAGAGAGAGGCAGAGACACAGGCAGAGAGAGAGAAGCAGGTTCCATGTGGGGAGCCCGATGTGGGATTCGATCCCGGGTCTCCAGGATCATGCCCTGGGCCAAAGGCAGGCACCAAACCACTGAGCCACCCAGGCGTCCCCTGTTCTTTTTTCTTTGTTTTAAATTTTATTTGTTTATTTATTTGAGAAGGAAAAAAGACAGAGAGAGCAAGTGAGAGCAGGAGCAGCAGCCAGGGGAAGGGCAGAGGGAGAGGGAGGAGCAGATTACTTGCTTGAACAGGGGGCCCAACTTGGGGCTTGATCCCAGGACCCCAGGATCATGACCTGAGCTGAAGGGTGATGTTTAACTGACTGAGCCGCCCAGGCGTCCCTTCTATTCTTCTTTTAAAGATGCAGTATTTCTCAAGTAGTAGGCAAAGAATGAGTGTGTGAAGCTTGGTTTAAATCTCAAGCACAGTGAGAACCTGGTGGCAACTCCTAGTCTGAGGCGATAGGTTTTGGGAAGGTTGATCTCCACGCTGCCTGGTCAGGCGGTGTCCACTCAGTCCACCTGGGCCATCTCCCTGGGCCTACAAAGATTGCTCTAGTTTCCAGTGCTTTTCTGTTCCATTCAGAGACTACTGGGCTTGGGATGAAGCCTTAGAGGTCATGCTCAGGCCCAGCCTTTGCCCAAGCTTTGCCTCTCTGTAACATTCTGGAGATAGGGAACCAGGGATCAAACCCACTCTTTAAATGTGGGTAATAGAGTATTTTTTCCTTAAGATGTCTCCTTTAAGATCTGTGTTTGATGATACAGTTGAACCAGGAAGTGAAGCCAGATTTTAGTTTATTCAAAAAACATATTTTGCAAGCATCTTATGTGCCAGAAAGATATAAATGAGATCCTACCCTCAGAAGAGTTACAGTCTGGACAGTACAGTTTTGTAAACACACACATGTATACCTAAACACACAGATATAATAGGAACACTATGATAGGAAAGTATTTTTGGTACTTGTGGACACAAAAGCAAGAGGGTTCTATTCAACCTTTGAGTAAAATGGGATGGGGTGGGGTAAACCTTGAAAATGTTTATGGAAGAAATTTATTTGAGCTGAATCCAGAACATTGAGTAGGTTTGCATGAGTCAGAGAGAAAGGAAGCATATTCTAGACAGAGAAAGCACCATGAGTAAGGGCACAGGACCTCAAAGCATCCTGGTGGTCTGAGAACTGCAAGAATTTGTCATGGCTGAAATGAAGTATGAGTGAAAGGGAACAATGGTCAGGGGTTATCAGTAGCATGCTGGAGCTGGCTCCTGTCTGGTTCATAACAGCCATCTATTAAATAGCCAGTAATTTTGTAAGCTGGTCGTTAAACTGGTGGTAGCTTGAAATGGATAGTGGTGGAAATATTTATACCATGGAAATCAGCAAATACCCACATATCAGGGCTCATACTGCAAAGAGCTGTTTTACCATACTGTAGTGATGGAGATGCCCTTGTATGTCATTCTGATAATTATTCTTTTTTTTTAAAGATTTTATTTATTTATTTGAGAGAGGGAGAGAGACAGATTGGGGGGAGAGGCAGAGGGAGAGGTACAAGTAGACTCCCCGGTGAGCATGGATGGAGCTCACCGATGTGGGGCTCCATCCCAGGACCCTGAAATCATGACTTGAGCTGAAACCAAGAGTCAGATTCTTGACCCACTGAGCCAGCCAGGTGCCCTGGTAACTATTCTTTAAGATTCCTCAGTGTAGGTGGTGGGGAGCCAGTGCAGGATGGCTGGCAGGGAAGCCACATGGTCAGATTTGTAATTTAGGAAGATAACTCTGTGTCTTTGGTCCTGTCCCTCAGGAAACAGATCCAGAGAGGGAGCTTTACATGCTGGAGATTTGCTGGAGAGCCTTATTGCAACTAGCACTTGAAGGCAAGCAAAAGAAAATGGGCCTGGGCAGAAGGCACAGTTAAGTAGTGAAGCAGTTGTAAGGCCCATCCCACAGGGATGCTTTGGAGCTGGAATGGCCCATCAAAGAGAACCAACCCAGAGGCACCTGTGTGTGTGTGTGTGTGTGTGTGTGTGTGTGTGTGTGTATAGAGGCTGTCCCTGTGGAGGGGTACATAACTGGTGAAGTGGCTCTGTTCATCTGAGAGCACTTTGTGGAGAAGGCTCAGCAAGTAGTGGAGCCTGAAGGTGATTTTGTGTCTGTTTGGAGGATACACGAGCTCTGGGGGAGGTGGAGGGCAAGAGTATTAAAGCATTCCAGGTTCAAGGTGATGGGGACGCCTGGGTGACTCAGTGGTTGAGAGTCTGTCTTCAGCTCAGGACATGATCCTGTGGTCCTGGGATCAAGTCCCACATTAGGTCCCCAACAGGGAGCCTGCTTCTCCCTCTGTCTCTGTCTCTGCCTCTCTCTGTGTGTCTCTCATGAATAAATAAATAAAATTAAAAAAAAAAAAGATAATGAAGGCATAGGGGGCACCTGGGTGGCTCAGTTGGTTAAGTGTCTGCCTTTGGCTCAGGTCATGATCCCAGGGTCCTGGGATTGAGCCCTGGATTGGGCTCCTTGCTTAGTGGGGAGCCTGTTTCTCCCTCTCCCTCTGCCTGCCACTCTGCCTACTTGTGCACTCTCTCTCTGTGAAATAAATAAATATATAAAATCTTTAAAAAAGAGAGAGAGAGAGAGAGAGAGAGAGAGATGATGAAGGCATAAACTAAGGAGGTAGCAATAGGGAGGGGCTAAAGTGTGGGAAGGTGGGGTCTGTGGGGCTAGCTCCCCTCCTGTAGTAGTCCTTCTCCACTAAGTGCCACGGCTGCCCCCCACCCGGGTACCTTTGGCTGTGTCTGGAAACGTTTTTGTTGTCATAACTGGCAGGGATTGTGTGTCTGTGTGTGTGCTACTGGCATCTAGTAGGTAGAGGTCAGAGAGGCCACCAAACACCCTATGAAGCACAGAACAGCCTCCATAGCAGAGTCACCAGCCCCCACACATTGGGAATGTCAAGATTGATATAATACTAAGAAGAAAGGAATGATATTTGGAATAAGGACAGGAAATGGGAGAGATTTTTCTCTGCCCCTTCCCTGGGCATCTGCGTATTGAGTCCCTAACGCAGCACCAGATTGCTGAAGTGGAGACGGTATTTTACAGAGAAGAGAAGAAATTTGATCTTACCAGCAAATGCATATCATCGAGTCACTAAAGCCCTTGCTTGTCTCCTATGGAAGTTTTAATTCTAGGTAGCAGTAGGTTCGCACGTGTTTCCCTTCCATCTTCCTTCCAAAAGAGGAAAGTAAACCAGAGCTTCATTCTGTATTGAAAAACACAGAGGTACAAGCAAGCACATATAATAAGGGGCTTGATCCCAGGACCCCAGGGTTGGGGGGATTGTACAAGCAAGCACATATAATAAGGGGGCTCTTCAAATCACCTCTGGTTTTTGCTGGCGTCATTAAAAGTTTGGCAAAACAGTGGTAGGGGATGCTGTTCAGACACCTTGCTTAGGTTTTAGCAAAGTAGTCGAGCAGAGGAAGAACATTAAATTTAATTAGGCAGAAACCAGAAGTTGATTAGGGAGGTTGGAACTCAGCTCGTGGAGAAGCACTATGTCAAGTATCTTTGTTTGCTTCTTAACGGGGAGCACGTTCAGTTGCAGCAAGGTGGCGAGAGCCTTGGTGCCCTTTTATTTTTATTTATTTTTATTTTTTTGGCTGAAAGCTGGTTAGTGCACAGGGCGACCCTCTGCTGGGTGCACTGAGACATCCTGGTCAGAGGTGAAGAACGACTCCGAGCAGGTTGGAGGGAGCAGAGTGACTGGGAGGTACAGCAGGTGCCCTTCGGGGGGGGGGGGCAAGCAGGCCGAGCTGCGGCCTTGGCAGGGAGCAGACGTGCAGAGCTCCGGCATGGGCATTAGTGGGAGAAGCATGAAAGGGAGATATATTTATGCCTGGTACTAGGATACCAGCTGATAGACTAGAGCAGTGGTTGAAAACTTTTTTTGGAAAGGGGGCAGATATTCGGTTTTATGGGCCAGATGGTCTCTTGCCCCTCTGCCTAGTGTAAAAGCAGGCAGATGATATGGAAATCAATCAACGACCTGTATCCAGTAAAACTTTATTTACCAGAACGGGTGGCAAGGCCAGATTTGGCCAGTGGGCACTAATTTGCTGACCTCAGCTTACGGTCTTGAGCCGGTGCACTTAAAAAAAAAAAAAAAAAGATTTTGCTATGCTATTTAAGGAAGGTATGGATATGAGGGCAGAGGTGCAATTAAGATTTATGACTAAGGGACCAAACACATTTATTTTCTTTCCCTAATCTTGGTCTCTTACTCTTGGCCATCTTTCTCCTTTCTTTAATTATATGCATATAATTTTTATATTTAATAAGTTGTTATTAATGAAATAATTTGCAATAATTGATCATATAATAATTTGATTTATAATAACTGATTTTCTGGTTTGGGGAGGAAATGTTAAATAGTGGGAGGAAACTTTGCTCCTCTCTTCTCTTGGCTGTTTGCAAATGCAATTTAGTTATTTTTTTCTCTTGGTGGAGCTCTTTAATTATGTTTTCTTCGATATCACCATTGACCTTGGGTCAGTGATTCTCAACCTTGACTGTATATTCAGATCACCTGGGGGGACATTTAGTGTTTCCATTGCCCAGGCTGTATGTGGAACAATTCATCAGAACTCTAGGGTTAGGGCCAGGCATCATTATATTTTAAAGCTCCCTGGGGACTCAGATGTGCAGCCAAGGTTCAGAACCACAGCCTTGGATTTAAAGAAAAAAAAAAAATTGTCCTCAACACTTGCTTTAGATGCCCAGGGAAATCTAACCTGTATAGGGGTAACGGTTTCTGGCCTGCAGGTTTGAACTATGAAAACTGGATTCTTCAGATTTCAAGGGTTATATTCAGACAAATGTACTAGTGACACAGTGGAAACTTCTTTGTTGTGGTTTGGTATCAACAATAAAAGAAATATCAGGAATCTAATGTGACTTGGCTGATGTGAGTATTTCTAGCCAGAGGCACTTTCTCCATCAGCGAGTTTGGTGGCAGCCTTTGAACCTGATGAAAGCTTTCAAGTTCCAATGATTAAGTCATTATCCACCAAAGCCATTCTTACCTGAGGAAATGATCAGGATATGTGTTCTGTGTCCACAGGGAATAACTTTCTAACATCATCATGAGTGCATACACAATCTGATGGTGTTTCTTAAAGGGCCTAATCGATTAAGTGAAAGGTGATTTTTTTTTTTTTTTTTTGTTTAATGTTGGGAGATGTAGGGAATTCAAAAGGCACATTCAAGGAACTTTTATCAAGATAGATCAAAATTCATTTGAAAATATAGATACAGGGATAATTTTATTTTGTGAGTAGTGACATTTTTGAGGAATCCAAGAGCATTTTTTTCCCCCACAACAATCATGTTTTTGTTTTCATCTTCCATTTTACAAATGGAAGATTCTAATCTTGTGACCCTGGAATTGCTCAGGCATTTAATATTCCAGCCTGGGTATCAAGGATTTAGTGCTTTCTTTCTGAAGTGAGAGTTAGAGGATCATGGTATTTTGGAGGGAGAGTGGGGAGTAGCCTACAATGTTCTGAGGGGTTTCCCAGCTGGTAGCCAAGTGTCTCAGGACTACTGTAGCTTCTCAGCTTCCTTTGTACTGGAGATGTAAGAGTTGCTTCATTTATTGAGGATTTATTGAGGGGTGATGGAAGGAGAATAGGATTCTGTCCTCCATGAGTAATGGAATGCCCAACGACCATGCTTGCAACAATAGGAGCTTCTTACCCCCTCTATGAAGATATTGCAAATATACCATCCCAGGGTTGGCCGATTCAGTCATTTCACCATGCTCTGGCTTTAAATGGTATCCCTTTGAGTCTTGATTCTCTTGACTTTTTCTGGTCAAAGGATGGCTATTATGATGCAACATGGCGACATCAATAGGCAGGAAGACAAGGGGCATTTTCCCCCTGGGTTCTATTATTATTATATTAATCAAGAAGGAAAAGCTTTCCAGTAGCTCCCAGCAGACTTCTCTCAGATTTCAAACCTGGAGCCAAAAGCTGTTACTTGTTCACCCTCAAAACTAGACTAGCAGAGTGGTTGCTGTGGTTAGCATAGACTAGGGGTTAGCAAACTTTTTCTGTAAAGAGTCTCTTGATTGTGAGTATCTGGGGCCTTGTAGGCCATATATGGTCTCTGCTCCATATCATCTTTTCCTTAACCCTGTGAAAATGTAAAAAGTATTGTTAGATCTAGGGGTGTTTGCCAGGCCATGGACCCTGGCATAACTAGTTGTGTTCCATCTCTTGAGGCTGGTGGAGGGGTCCACCAACCCTGCCCACGTTGCCACCCATTTTTTTTATTTTAGCTAAACTGTGATTTTGTTAGCAAATTGGATGGACAGCCAACTCTAAGTTCCATATGTGGTCTATTTGTATAAATTTCATAGTAATTTGGCAATGGGCATTTTGATGAAGAAAAATTGAGATATGAATTCTCAGGACCTTAGTAGAATTTTAATTGGAGTGGGGTTATTCTCATTATGGTAGTCAGGGTAAACTCAGTAACAAATAATCCCCAATCTCAGTGGCTTAACACAAGAAAAATGTGATTCCTTGCTCATACTATGTGTCTCAAGTGAATTGGCAGGGAATTCTACTCCACTTGGTGATGCAGGGACCCACCCGAATGGGGGCTCCACTGTTGAGTATTTGCGCCATGTGGATCACATGACCTCCTCCGTCTCCAAGAAGACAAGGAAAAGAAGGAGTCTAGAGAATAGCTCTTGGGTTTCCTCCTGCTCATTCTGAAAGTGACCTATTGCCCTGGCCAGAACTGATCATGTGGGCCAACCCAACTGGAAGGAAGGCTGGAAACCATGGGGGAGCAAATGGAATATTGGTTGAGTGTTATTATCCCTTCCACAGCCTTACTGCTTTCTTCATATTTTTCCAGAAGAAGAGACTTATGAAGTTGTGTTGTAACACGTCATAACAACACCAGTTGCTGATCCTTTACCTTCTGCTCTTTTTAAACTCTTGTTTATCCCATCCCTTCCTTTCTAACGTTTTTAAATTACATATTCTCTTCTCCCACACCTTTCTCTTTCCTGACACAGTTTAGAGTCTTGTCCATGGTGTCTAGAAGTTAGAGTGCATAAGTCAGAAAATGATAGCTATGAAAAGGTGTGTCATAATTGGATTATTGCATTGTAGAAATGCAATAGGATGTATCATTGCAGTGTCAAAAGGTTCTTTTGACCTTTGAATTTGCCTCTCACCCAGTAAGTCTCAACTGAGTGCTGTCACTCCCTAGAGTATATCAGGCAATGTTTAAGGACATTTCTTTGTTGTCACAAGTAGGGTGGGGTTGCTACGAGGATCTAGCAGGTAGAAGTCAGGAATGCTACCAAACATTATACAAAGCACAGGACAACCCCTGACTGTAGAAAATTACCCGGCCCCAATGTTAATCGTGCTGAGATGGTGTTGCCCCCTCCTCTTACTGATTACCTCTTTGAGTCCTTGTATTCTTGGGCGGCCTTCTCATATTTGCATGACTCTGACTTGTTTCCATTTTTTTGTGAGATATATCCAGGTAAAAATGTAACCTCCGAAAGCTAGTTGATCCTTCAGCAGACTCTGTGGTGGTTAAGTGGACAGGGTTCAAGCAGAATCTCCGAATGCCATTTTTACACGTTTTTCTCTTGTCCTTTTCAAGCTCTATTCATCTCTGGAGTTCTAAAAGATTTCACATTGATTATCCAAGCTGCCATTGTCAAAGTATAATTTCTAAATTGTGAAAAATATATAGTGAACATATATGCAGTATTTTTATGACTTGTTAATGAGGGCAGCAAAGCTGGCTCATGGGAGAAATCAAGAGACTGAGGATTTATAGACACTGGAGCAAAAGCATTGGTATAAGAATGCTAGTTTGAATGCAAAACTGGTTAGTATACTTCAGGGCTATAGATGAACTGTTGGAGTTATTAGGTATATCTAAGATATAGATACAAATGACAATAGCAGGTGAGACAATTAGTGCTCTGGAATGATGGTTCCCACACGTAAACCTGCATTAGAATCACCTGGAGGGCTTGTGGAAGCCATTGCTGGCCTCAGCCTCAGTTTCTCATTCTGTGCTGCTCTGTGAAGGGGACCTCCTGTCAGGTCTAACAAGGATCTCAGGAGATGCCGCTGAACCTGGTGATTTAGGTGACACACTTTTGAGAGCCATTACTGTAATATGTCATGGAAAGATATGCAGTTGACCTTCTCGCCTTATTTTAAGTTTTAGATGTTTTTCTCTTAACACCCATATAAGGAATTCCATAATTGAGAAAAAAAGAGAGAAAGTGGAATGTAGCTAGGATAAATTGTCCTGGGATAACCAAGTAACTCATGTATCTCAGTGACTTAACAAAAAGTGCTATTTTCACTGATTTTATATCCTATAAAGTTGGATGAAGCTCAGACTATCATCCTTCAGCAATGCCATCCAGATCATGTGGATTTTGAAGGCAAATGGGAGAACCAAGGGTTCTAACATGGGCTTTTCACTAGCCCCTAGACCAGAGGGGCACCTGTCACATCGACACATGTCCCATTGGCCAGACTAACTGCAAAGGGGGCTGGGAAATGTGGGAAAACTCATGTGTATGTAGAGAGTACTTGATGTCCCTATTGCCTGTTTCATAAATATGAGTGTATAAACGTGTACTTACTGATCAAAGGACCCAAAGCATCTTTTTTTTTTTTTTGACTCAAAGCATCTTCATCATGGCAATGTTATTCTTACTAAAATTATATTTGGATATGTATATTTCACACTTAAGATTTTAGATTTCTAGAAGAGCAGTTAAGGGATAGTGTCACCACAGAAAATGATGGGGTTGAGGTAGGGAAGATTCCAGTGTTTGAAATTGCTGTTAATGCTAAAAAAATATATTTTGATAACAATAGTAATCAGTTATATGGACACATATTTGTCGCCCCAAGTGAAATATACGTAAAGAGAGAGAACCCTTAATTATCTTAGTATGATGGTAGACTCTTTGATCTTGGGATGCAGCAAACTAGAGGCGTGGAGTTTGCTAAATGGACTTCTAACTCTTGCCCTGCCTCAAATTTCCTTTTGGGACTGCTGAACTGTTTTGCTTACCAAACTTGCTTCACTTGAGGATTACAAGGTTCCATACTCAAGGTGAGATGTATTATGGGATTCTTGAAGGCTTTCCCTTTTGACTAGCTGTTAGTTAGCCTCATAAATCACTTAGCTGCCTGATTCTCAGTTTACCTATCTGTAAAATGGGTCTCCTGGGAATACTGTGAAAGTTAAATGAATATTTATACAATGTACCTGGAAATTCCTACCCTAACGGTTCCTTTGTTCTTCTTTCCCTAACATGGACTAGAAAAGCTATTATTGAGATCTTTGTTAGTTAGAGGATGACCAACCCTACAGACCCTCTGCCTGGGAGTGAGTGGGTTCCTGGGATCCTGGACTTCCACTTTTATTTTTTATTTTTTTTTTTTTTAATTTTTTTTTTTTTAATTTATTTTATGATAGTCACACAGAGAGAGAGAGAGAGGCAGAGACACAGGCAGAGGGAGAAGCAGGCTCCATGCACCGGGAGCCCGACGTGGGATTCGATCCCGGGTCTCCAAGATCGCGCCCTGGGCCAAAGGCAGGCGCCAAACCGCTGCGCCACCCAGGGATCCCTGGACTTCCACTTTTAAAACCCTGAATGTCCGGGGCAAACCGGAATGAGTTAGTCACTCTATTTAGTGGACCTTCTTGGAACCTGCCCCTGGCTTCGCCTGGGGGAATGCCTATACTTTAGATCTCTTTATGGGGAAAATAGTACCTGACTTTTGAGATGTCTCTTCTGTTCTTTTACAGGGGAGGAGCTTGATTAGGGATGGCCTAGCATTTATGTTAAACCTTATTATTTTAGACCAAGGCAACTTTCTGCCTTAAACCTTTAAAAACATTGATTCTAGAAATTGGCTTGAGTTAACTTTATCTGTTGTGATAATCTGATCTTTAAGCCCATTAAGGTTTGGTCAGCTGTGCCCTACACATCTAGGACTTTCCTAAAGTAGAGATTGGTAATTTGAGTGTGAGGAGTTGCTTTCCATGTTTATAGAGATCTGCTTGGTTGGACCAATGGTTTTTCTCAATGAGATCTAGGAGTCTCGGGTAATACCCAAACTACTTTTCTTTTCTTTCTTCTCTTTTTTTTTTTTAACCCAAACTATTTTTCCCCATGGTTCCTTACCATTAAATCCTGCTCTTTCTACCAGAGATGTCTCTCCTGCCTGGCATTCTTTCTTCATCTTAGCTCACTGCTTGTTATGGGTACTCATACTCACCTTTCCCCTGTGTATTTTATCACCAGTCACTTCAAATACGTCTCCTACGATGCTGCCAAGTATCTTCCTACAAAACATCTATCATCATTCTCCTGCTTCAAGGTGGCTCCTGCAGCTTCCTCTTGGCCACCACAATAAAAGCCAGCTTCTTAGCTTGGAAGCCCTGCCTGACCTGCTTTATGGGCCACCCACATGGAGCCCTTTCACAATCCACACCCCTGCACATGCTGCTCCTCCCATTCTCCTTTTACAACATCCTCCTTTTCCTTTCTCTGCCTGGATATATACACCTGTCCTTTTGGACCTGGTTCAAATGTTCTCTTCCTTGTGAGAGACCTTGGTACCTTTCTGTCATGGTGGCTTCTTCCGTTGAAGTCTGCAGCTTGGGGATTTAGAGCGTGAGGTTATGACTCCCTACTCAGCCTCTGATTACCTTTGTGCACCACAACAAACATTTAAGGAAGGGCTCCCATTACTGAGCACTAATATAGGGTTTTTCCTGTCTTACCCCATTGACGTGTTTATCCCCCCCATGTTGGGTGGTATTTATCTGGAAAATGTTTGGCTCGCAGTAGGTGTTCTGCATGAATGCTTGAATAAATGAAGGAACCCAACTCAGGATTTTCATAGGGGAATCCTCTCTTTTAAAGTGTATCCATCCTTTGCTGGGGTCTTGCAATTTCAAGTATGGTCCCTGGACCTGCACCCCAGCAGCCTGGCATCATCAGAGAGCTCACTAGAAATGGCAGGATCTTCCATCTTACCCCAGATCTGCTGCACCAAATCTGTGTTCTACCAACATCCCCAGAAGATTGGTAGGCAAGTTAAGCTTGAGAAGTATTGCCCTAGGCTCATGTCACCGAATGGCCCATTAGTATCTGTAACACATTCACCCTCAGTTTGGGGGGTTCTTATACAAAAAATTGGAGCTCTCTTCCTCCTTCTCTCCCTCTCTCTTCCCCTTCCGAATAACTGACTTCCTTCCTTCCTTCCTTCCTTCCTTCCTTCCTTCCATCCTTCCTTCCTCCTTCTTTCTTTCCTTAAATGCACAATCACAGGATCTGCCCTAGACCTATTGAACCGGAATGCCAGGCAGGTTGGGCCACTGCCTTTTAAACAAATACCCCGGGACATTTCTATCACCCTGAAATCTGAGAACCACATCCTAGGGAATTTCTTAACTATTTCATCGTCTCTGATTTCCCCCAAAGCTTTGGACTTAGCAGATCTGTCCTCACGGTTAGTGTCAACTCTGTTGAGGTCCATGTCTGTGGCCCTTTCTAGTTTCCCCATTGCTGTTAACAGAGTTGTTCTCCTGCTGTCCCCGGATCTGGCCCTGGCCTGCATCCCACTATTGGAAGAGTCCTTTACCTCGCATTGAGAAATGCACAGTGTCCCCGCATTTCCCTTTCTAGTAATTGCCCCACTTCTCTGCCTGCGTCACTCCTTTCAAGTTCATAGTGTGTTGCCACTGGTTTTCTCCATCGTCCCCGTGCCCGCTCATCTCTTGCCATCTGGCTTCTCCCTCCGATATGTTACTGAAGCTCTTCTCACAAAAATCACTAGGGACTTCTTTATTTTCATATTCACTGACCTTTTGAGTACTTTAGAAAAATCTCTTAGAGGTTCGCAATCCTGTAAAAAAAAAATCATGAATTATGGTTTTAACCTGCTTTGCTGGTGTGCAGAGCTGAGCATGAATGTCAGCCTCTAAGCCAGAGAGAAGTTGGACCCTACCCTCTCTTTACTTGCCAACCCCTGGGGTAGGAAAGCAGTCAGTCACTGAAGGTTTTTATACTTAAAAACGTTTGACAAATTCAAGTTTACTGCAAAAAAAAAAATTTGTTTTTAGCACAAAGCTAGTGATTTTAATTCCTGATTCATTACATTACCAAATTTCTTCAGATAAATCATTGCTAATATTAGTCTTATATTGCGTAGCATTCTGTAGTTGCTTTTGGCTACTATTTTCCCTTGTTTTATAGAATGAACCCATAATCAGAGCAACAAAATAAGCCATTATCTTCTCTTCTAGAACCTGTAAATTCAACAATTCAACCTTTAAACATTCAGTGGAAAGGGAAGTACTCAAAAGGACATAGAGTAAGAATGCACCATGCTGGACATCCTTCTTAAAAAAAAAAAAAAAAGCACAGAAACTTTTCTTCCTCCTTCTGTCTCCCTCCTTTCCTCTTTCCTTTTTCTTTCCTTCTCTCTCTCTCTCTCTCTCTCTCTCTCTCTCTCTCTCTCTTTTTTTACAGATCCAGCAAGCAAACACATTCCAGGCAGTACATTATTAGGCTCTGGCAAGAAAAGAATGAAGCAGACATGGCCCTTTGCCTTTACGATGCTAACGGTTTAGTGGTTTAGCGTGGGGCAGTCAGTCTTGTCATCCCAGAAATAAAACAATTTGCTAAGTACACAGGGAAGGGGAGAGGGTGCAATTCCTGTGGAGGGAGCATCAAAGATGGGGTGTGTGGGGAGCAAGAGGAGACTCAGCAGAGGAGGGATCTTGCTGGAGCTGAATCTTGAAAGGTGAACGGGTGCCTCCAGTTGGAGCTGTTGCAGCCCTAGGAGGGCGGATGCAGAGGGATTCAGGCACTGTGGCCCCATGAGCAGCACCCGGAGATCACCAGGCATCCTGGGAGTGGGTGTCTTGATGGAGGAGGTTGTACTGATGGAGGAAGTAGAGGGAGCAAGGGGAGCACAAGTCTGGAGTTTTGTTTTGTTTTTTTTTAAGATTTTATTTATTCATGAGAGACAGAGAGAGGCAGAGACACACAGGCAGAGGGAAAAGCAGGCTCCCTGCGGGGAGCCCGATGCAGGACTCGATCCCAGGACCCTGGGGTCACAACCTGAGCGGAAAGTAGACGCTCAACCACTGAGCCACCAGGGGCCCCCGCAAGTCTGGATTTTAATGTGGCCAGTGGGCATCTGTGACAACGAAGGGGACCACGGGTTGGAGAAATGCAATCCTAAAAGATGGGGTGTCTGTAAGGAAAAGAGCGCAAGGCCTAGCCAAGGGGTGACAGACTGAGGTTCTGTATGGAGAAGTCACTGGAGTCGTAGAAAGCTGGACAACTCCACAGGTGAGAGGGCCGGGGGTGGGGGCGGGAAGCACAGGCTGAAGACAATCTCAGGTCAAGTTCGCCTTTGACTTGGAAGGGCTGGCTGCCCAGAGAAGGAGGAGGAAGGCCTCCCTGGTGCAGTTGTCAAACCCTTCCCAACTGGTCGTAAGAAAAGTCCTTTTCGTAGTAACAGAACTGGCGCATCCCTTACTCTTTGGCCTCCCGGAGTAACTCGGAGCAGATCTCTTGCCCTCGGGACCACAGCTCTTGCAGTGATGGGGGGGGGGGCTCTTAGGGTTCCCGGGGCGGGGGCAGGTGACAGCCTCCCTGTTGTGCCCTCGGCTCCCCAAGTGACACGGTTCCTCCGCTTACCTGCATCGCCAGCAGGGCCAGCAGCCCTGTGGTCACGGCGAACCAGAAAGCCTGAGGGCCGTCAGCGGCTGCCCCCTTGTCTTGCTCCCGTCCTCCTTCTGCAGACAGCTCTTTGCTTCCAGAGTTTTGCAGCCGACGCTGTGTGAGCTGTTGGGTCAACGAGCCGGACGGGTGCAGGAGGCGGCTCGGGGGCCGCTGAATAGTGTCGCTTTGTCTGGAGGCATGTTTTCCTGACCGTTTACGGTGCTTGACAGGGTGCTTTTTGTTCTGGGGAGAGCTGCTTTGGGGAAAGCAGGCTGCTGAGCGGGGCGCCGGGCCCCCCTGGCCTCTGGGGCTATCTCCAAGGCCCTCCCGGGGACTGGATGCAGCTCCCGCAGGCGCCCCGGCCCAGCGGAGGTCACCCGAGGCCTCGGCGTCCTTGTCCCCAGCCCTAACTCCGATAGAGAGGGGAGGAGAAACTGCCGTCCAGCTCCCCAGCCTCCTAGGAGTCAGGAAGGGGCCCAGGCCAGCAGCAAGATTCCATTTTAATCGGTGATCACGCATTACACACACACACACAAAGAAAACAAAGCAGCTGTGTACCTACCCACTTTCCAGAACTTTCCCTCCACGGTTGGCAGTCAGCTTGCTTTTCTTTTTGCAGAAAACACGATGTCGGTTGTCGTCGGAATGTAGAAGGGGTAGAAGTCTGGAAAAGGAGGCAGTTTGGACAGGAAGGTGAAATTAGTAAGGTTTTCAGCTCGCGTTTGGGATGAATCACACCCTTTGGGGATTGGAACGTGCAAGTGCAAGCGTAACGCTGGTTTCCCCCTGGGGCTCTCGTGCTTTCCCTCACACGCCTGGGCACACACCCCGCAGAATCCCTAACAGGCAGGCTTTGAGTACCAGGGGCCAGAGAGGTCCCGGAGGCCTCGGCCTCAGCTGGCAGGGAGGAGGTTAGCATCTCCTCCGGCGGGGCATGGACTCTGGTCGGCTGACGGGGGTGGCAAGCACATTCCAGCAGTGAAGGGAGGCTTGGCTGGTCTTTGTGGGTTCCAGAACATGCAGTTCTTCCATAAAATGACGGGAGAACACAGTGTGCTATTGAGTGCTGCTGGATCTGTATGGAGCCATCTACTTCCCGCCCCCCCCCAACCAAGGGTCAGGACAAAGGTGGTTTACTTGGGGTGAATTCTAGACCAGCAGTCTAAAGCACTTTAGGTTGGAATCCAATTTCTGCCCCATATTATTTTTATGGCTTTGGTTAACATTTCTCAACTACTCTGAGCCACAGTTTCATCTTCTTCGTGTCTATCTGCCATGGATGGTTTTGCCCTGCGTACGTGGCCCTGCACAGTCGAGTCCTGATTTCTGGGCCCTTCCAGAACTGTTGTCCTTCATGCCACCTGGCCGTCCACTTAGACTGTCCTGGTGTCCTGCACGCTTCCCCACCTCTGTGCGTTTTTGCTTCCTGCTTTCCTTCCCCTTGCCCTTAGCCTGCTCTTTTCTCCATATCTGCCTTTAGGAAGTCATGTCTAAGAATTAGCTCGAGAGATATTTCATGGGTAGAGTTTTCCCTTGTATCCAGGAGTACATGTGGAACAACATACAGAAGCAATTATAAGATGTCTGGGATTCCCTTTAAAGAAGTAGGGGCGGGGGCATAGATGAAGCAAAACTGGTCAAGAATTGATATTTTTTAAAGAAGGGTGATAGGCACATAGGGGCTCGTTGGATTGTTCTCCTTTGTGTATGTTTAAAATTTCTTGTAATAAAGGGCAAAAAAAAAAAAAAAAAAAAAAGCTTTCTTAATTACCCATCCCAGAGGTCATCTCTCTCGCACATGTTTGAAGCTTCCTTGTGGTAGTTTCTTCTGACATCTGCTTCCTGTTATGGGGGTTGATGAGTTAGTAGAGCTCAGTAGTTAGACAGCAGGCACTCTGATTTGCCCAGGGCACTCTTGGAATACTCCTTTGTCCCTCATTCCATCTGGTTTAGCATTTATCCCAGATTTTTATTTTTATATTTATTTATTTTTTAAACAGAGTCTCATTATCTCATAGTTGCATTAAACCAAGCCAGGATGGGTTTGAGAGACTACCACTCTCTAATTTCGGCTTCTGCTGTGATCTCTAGCAGAGTGCGAGCTGCGAGCTGCTTGCAGCAAGCAGAATTGGACGTTAGTGCCAGGATGCATCCAAAAGATGACCAGCAATGACTTCTCTCGTTTCCTTGCTTGTCCCAGAGGGCTTGCCGACTAATAAATCCAAGTGGTCAGAGTTGGCTAGCTGCTTCCAGGCTTAGATGGTGGGAGAAGAACTGGATACCACTATACCACTGTGGCCCAAGCTGTGTTCCACGAGACACAGTGTTAGAGGCTCCATGGCTTAGAAACTGACTTAAAGGATGCGAACCCTTGCCAAGAAAAATAATTCTGCTTATGTCATTTCATAATGTACATTTTGCTTTAGTGCACGTGTGTGTGTGTGTGTGTGTGTGTGTGTGTGTGTGTTTAGAAAGAATTTCATTTTGAAAATAGCTTTCAGTAAGTTTGGGTTGTAGAGGTTCACCACTGTAATGAAACCAATCCATTGATCAATTGGATCAATAAAATAGTTTAAATAGGATCCCTGGGTGGCTCAGCGGTTGAGTGCCTGCCTTCGGCCCAGGGCGTGATCCTGAGGTCCCGGGATCAAGTCCTACGTTGGGCTCCCGGCATAGAGCCTGCTTCTCCCTCTGCCTGTGTCTCTGCCTCTCTCTCTCTCTCTCTGTGTGTCTCTCATGAATAAATAAATAAAATCTTTAAAAATAAATAAATAAAATAGTTTAAATAAATATTTAAACTATTGTGTAATTTTTATCACTTTTCCTACCACCTCTTACAAAAGTGTCCCTGTTTAAATGATAAAGTATGGGCTCAGTTTACTTAATAGTGAAGAAAATGAACTCTGAAGGTAGACTTTTGGCTCCCAAGTCCTAGCTCTGGGGCATGTGAACTGTTTCCCCTTTGGTCTGTTTCTTCATCTGTAAAATGGGGATGATAATGGTTGGTTATATTTTCATGAAGATAAATGAGTTATTACGTGTACCATATTTAACATAACATTTTCCCTATTTTAAACACTGACTACTTATTCTGTTTTTATTTGGGTTCCTTTTTTATCTTCTCTACCAGGTTATATGCCCATTTAGGAGGGGAAAAGGTTTCTTTATTTTTAAAGACTTCTACTGGGCATGACACATAATAACTCCTTGATGATATTTGTTGGTTGACTGAATAAATGAAGGAATGATAGGCAGCTGTTTTGAATGACTGGAGCCAGTGGGAGTGGTTAGGGTTGCAATCTGTGTATATGAAATTGAGCTATATCTAGGCAGGAATTCCTGGTTGATCTAGACCTTGTTGAGACCCCAGATGGGCTAACTGAACTGACTACTGCAAACACAAAGTCTTACATAAAATGATGTTTCTATGTTCTATAAATCTATAGGCAATCGCCTGCCCACTTATCTCCCTGAGCTGGTCATCTTACTGGACCCCATCCTGTGCTTCTGGTTGGTGCTTTACTTGAAACTGGGTATCATTTAGCCAGTTATTTGCTCATCTTGCAAATCTGGCAGGGTAAAGGGATCTCAATAAGGCAAAGAATATGGGGTTAAGTAAAGGAAGAGTTACCATATATGATAAACATATATAGGAGGAGACTAGAAAATGTTAGTATCTGTGTTTTAAGATTTCTCAGGGAGAAATCCTGAACTGGTGTTATATATCATGTTTAAAAGTATCCAGTTGGTCTGCTCTGCAGGCATAGCCACTTGGTACTTTGGGGTTGATGCATGTTAGGAAATGGGCCATCTGTAGCCAGGAAGGTTTAAGATGGCCAAGGGGGAAGAGGTGGGAGGAAAGGAGGTTGTATGGGGCTCTGAAATGCCATTGTGGTGAGTTTCCTTTCATTGTGTATTGGTTGGTTCTTCTAGAGAAAGGCTCTGGACTGAGTCCCTTTCCATTTTCACTGCTGCTGGGGTGAGCATTAAACAGTGGTTTTAGACTTGGCCTGTTTGATGAGACAACTAGGAACATCCTAGAAATACTATACAATCAAAACATTACTATGTATGTTTCTGTATATAACAACATGACTCAAATCTTGGTTGCTTGTCCAATCATTTTCCCTGAAGCTTTAGATCTAAATAGACCCTTGTTTGCTGAGTTTCTTTACTGGGATGGTCCCTCAACCTCACTCTACTCCAACCCAAGCCCATCCATTCTTGGCTTCTCAAATTTGCTTCTCCTGTGTGCTTGTTCCCAGTTGGTACCTCCTGTTTCTGCTAGGAAGATCTTTTTAATGTAATTCGATTTTCCTCCTCTCCATCAGTACTGTCACTGATCATGCCCAGGCTCCTCCCTCCTCCTACTTGGATCTCTGCCATAGGCTTTCAGTAAGTTTTCCCGCCTCCATTCTTGCTCCCCATCCTGCTTCCCTCTCTGTTGGCCCTCGGGATGAGTAAAGAAGTCAGTAATTCAGCAACCAGTTACAGGCCAATCACTCTCTTCTCAGGGCTGGGGTTAAAAGAGTGAACTAATCACTGTTTCTTCTGTCACAGAGCTTATTTTCTAGTGCTGAAGACCAACAAAGCCATGTACCCAGACAGATGACTAACATGTTTATAAACTGTATGATATCATAAAGGAAACCAACAAGGATTTGAGATGGAGGATAGCAAGGTGGACATGCTTTGCATGCTGTGGACAAGCGAGGCTCCCTTTGCTGATGACATTCAAGCTGAGATAAAAAGGATAAAAAGGATCTAGAAGGGCAATAACTCTAGTGGGGAAAAAAAATGTTTTGGGCAGAAAAGACAGTATGTGCAGAGACCCTGAGATGTGCAAGAGCTTGGTGGGATCAAAGAACCAAAAAACTAGACGAGAATGATTAATGTGCAGATCCCTCAAAGCAGAGCGATTTGAGATAAGAGCAGAGAAATGGGGGAATCACATGACACAAGGCCTTGAAGGCTACAGTAGGAGTGCATTTTAAGTTTAATGGTGAACTACTGAGGAATTCAAAGTACAGGTACAGTTTTACCCAATTTACATTTCACTCCTCCTCTTGCCCTTGTGGGGCATAGGTCAGAGGAGGATAAAAGGCGAAGTGTGGTGACAAGGTAGGAGGCTGTTGAAGGAGCCCAGGTAAGATGTGATGTAGTGTAGACCAAGGTGTTAGTAAGAGAGATGGAGAAATGTGGGCAGATTTGAAATATCTTTGGGAGGTAAAGTCCATAGGGTCTTCTATGGGATTAGACACTAGGACAAAAGAACAGGAGGAGATTCAGGATGGTTGGTCTGAACAACTGAATGGAGGGGAGGTCACCTGTTGAGATGAGGAAGTGATTTTGACCATTCTCTTTTTCTCTTTCACCTTGAAGGATTCCTGCTTAGATTGGGCCCATCTAAACAATCCAGGTAATCGCCCTATATTAGTGTTTTTGGCCTTAGACACACATGCCAAGTTCCTTTTGCTGTGTAAGGTAACGTCTTCCCAAGTTCTGGATGTGGACTTCTTTGGAGGGTTGCGTTATTCTGTCTACTACAGAGGTTGAGTAAAATGGGAAGAATATCCAGAGAGATGGTTAGGACCTGGACAGTGCTTTCTCAGGGGCATGATGGCAGGAAAGAGCCATATCATGGTGCGTTGGGCGATGAAGGAGAAGTTAGGAAGTAGAAACAACTCCGTATGTGGGCAACTCTGTAGAGAACTGGAATCAGGACTGGAGGGGATGTGGAATGGAGTGAAGGG